TTCCAAAATCTGAGAGGGATGCGGTCTGGAGCATGCTTTCAGAAGTCTTAAAAGAGCAACACTCCCATGCAGAAACTACAGAACCCAAACCACCATAAAAGAAAATCAACCTTCTGCTGGTGGCATCTGACTCAGATGATGAAAATGAATATGCATCAGTCTGCACTGCTTTGGATCGTTATCGAGCAGAACTTGTCATCTGCGTGGACGCATGTCCGCTGGAATGGTGGTTGAAGCATGAAGGGACATATGAAACTTTAGTGTATCTGGCATGTAAATATCTTGTGACGCCAGCTACAACAGTGCAGGCAAATGCCTGTTCTCACTTTTAGGTGTCATTGTAAACAAGAAGCAGGCAGCAAATATAAACAAACTTGTTTGTCTGAGTGATTGGCTGAACAAGAAGTAGGACTGATTGGACTTGTAGGCTCTAAAGTTTTACATTGTTTAATTTTTTAATGCAGGGTTTTTGTATATAATTCTATATTTATAAGTTCAACTTTCATGATAAAGAGATTGCACTACACTACTTGTATTAAGTGAATTGAAAAATACAATTTGTTTTGTTTTTTACAGTGCTAATATTTTTGATCAAAAGTAAATATAAAGTGAGCCCTGTACACTTTGTATTCTGTGTTGTAATTGAAATCAATATATTTGAAAATGCAGAAAACATCCAAAATATGTAAATAAATGCTATTCTGTTATTAACAGTGCGATTAGTCACAATTAACCTTTTTAATCACTTGACAGCCCTCGTAATTATTGATTGTATCATAATTCATATACTTAGGGAAAAAATTAAGGCAGCCTTAATTCTGGCATTCCTAACTGCTGTGTGTTTGACTTTGCAACCTAAATAACATTCCTTTAAAAAATAGTTAGTGTAATATACACGATGATGTTTCACTTGGTTTGCCTTGAACTTGTTAATCATTTGCACTAATGTATGTACACCGTGTTACCTCCCTATTGTCCTATGTAATGATTTCTGATGAGGGCACTGTTATTACATTGTCATATGCAGCACCCTGATTTGAAAATGGAGATACATTATTTATTATTTCTATTACAAAACTACCTAGGAGCCCTAGTCATGGTCCAGGGTCCCATTGTGCTAGGCACCTTACAAACCTATAGTCATCCTATTCATGTGTTCTGCATGGTAGAAACCAACCAAATATCAAGTGTTCTGCCTTGTGATTAGGTGAAGGAGGCATGGTTGATAATTTGCCTTGAGCCTGCAAGAAGGGATCCTATTTTGCTTGTCTTGCACAATTACATGTGAATGATCTTTTTACTATAAAATAACTTCACAGTGCTGTAGTAACTCATCCAAGTGTCTTCCAATATAGTTAGAAGATGTGCTCTACAAGTTACGTGTTCTCCATTAAGTGTCACATATTTCAGTATTTTCCCTCCAACTCTAGCTTATTTACACAAGACTGTATTTTAAAGAACTGCAAATGTAAAATGGGTAGAACTTTTGAGTTCCATGTTTTCTAGGGAGTTTGTTTCTCAGAGCAGGTGGTTATTTTTTTGGTAACATTCTTTTGGGGATAACGATGAAAAGAATATAGCTATAGACTGGAATTTTCACAGGGGACCACAGGAGATAGGTGCCCAATATCTCTGGCTTTGTGTGAAAGTTGGGCAATATCACTCTTTTGAGTTCTTGTGGAAAGCCAAGGTTAATGTTCAATTCGCTTTTAAAAAAAAGAAAAGAAAAAAAAGTAGATTCCTTAGGATTGACTGAATATTTTAAGGTGTGAACTGCATCAGATCTTTCTTTCAGCCAACAACATTGTTTTGCAGTGTGTTAAACATTTTGCCAGCAGCACTTCTTCAAATGAAGATTTTTATCCAATATCTTTTTGTTGCTGTCGAAATAGCATGAAAATTGAACCAAAATTAAGTCTATAGGTAACAATCTTCCTTGAAGCATACCTTTGCTGAGCCTTCTCAATAAACTTTCAACTGTAAAGTTGTTAAACAAGATGCAAGTGCTATGCAATATCCTGCTGAAGATAGAAGAAATATGACTTCATTATCGTTGGCTGGATCAATTCCTCTTCATGCTAATGCACACACATCAGTCCAGAGAGGATGTTGCCAAGAATAATATATAATCTACTCAAGCCTACAGTAAAAGCTTTAAAAAAATCTATTTTTATGTCGTTCTTGAAAGAAGGAAGCAATAGCAGGCAGTAAATTAATTCCATTCCTAAAAAGCCACTGCTGTTAATGTAAGGTAAATATGAAAACAATTTGAGCGGATGCCTAATTTTGTCCTATGCTGCCTATGTCCTTCACCATTTTTTTTTTTGCTACCATCTTTGGTTTTTGCCACAGTTATCGCTTACAAACAGAGATGTAGTAGACATCCGCAATGCCAAAGTAAACTTGCAATTCAAAGTATTTTAGTGGTTAGGAGGACCCCAGGTTGCAAAGCTTTTCAGAGTTTTAGACAATCCGATTAGAAATATAGTATTTTCTCACTTAGGTGATGGTATTATTTCAAAAGACCAAGGAGGTATAAATCCATTAGCATTTAAATTCTCTTTGGCCTCCAGATTTTCTTATTTAGCTGATGAAGAAATTTTAAAATTGTTCAGAAAGTCCGTTGTGTGATAACTGTCAAGATGGAAGAACACAGTGCAGTACAGCAAAACATAATTAAGCCACTAAAATATTAAATGCTAGAAAAAAATGGCAAATCTATTTCTTTATAATTATTAGTTTTTATTAATTTATTTTTGTGGTAATGCCTGCAGGCTACTTAATTGGTTAAAATATTTAAAACATTTAATTATTTTTTTATAAGAATTTTAATGAAAAAAGCCTTTTCATGAAAATTTTGGCCCAGTTTTTACAGATCAACAGGAAGCTTTAACTCCTCATTCCAGTTGAATATACCTAAGAGCTTATTTGACTTTCCAACATCATAGCACTTTACAGACATCAGCTCTTACAACAGACCTGTGTTCTAAGCATTACACCATTTTGCAGATATGCAACACCTAAATTGTTCTAAATTTAAGACAATTGGATCCTGATTTTCAGAGGAATGGTACACTCCCTTTTGGCTCCCATTGATTAAAGCTGGAGTTGTGAGTAATAATCAACTCTGAAAATCAGGCCTTAGAAATCTCAAGTTGGGCACCTAAAATTAATGGATTCTTTTTGAAAATTTTGGCCTTATTGAGATGTTGACAGTAACGGACAGAATTGATGTAGTCTGGAAACAGAACTTGGGAGTTCCTTGCTAGCAGTCCCAGTTGAGGCTACTCCTGAAGGCCACAGACGCTTCACAGCTACACTCTGCAGCTGTAGAATACAGAAGACCCATATAGTTTTTACATCAGACTAATCTCTGTCAGTTTAGAAATTAATAGTACAATCCCTTACAAATTGATGTTGTACAAAACACTAGTCAGTTTTGCAACCTTAAATTACAACTGCTGTATAACTTTGCTTATTTAATAACACAACTTTTGTTTATTGTACCATTTATAAGTAGGGTGGGGCAGAAGTTACGATGATCAGAACAGGCTAGATCTAAGTATGTTGATTACATGCAGAGTATAGGCCAAATTCATTCTTGGTATAGCCTTAGTCAAGATTGTGATGATGCACCAGGGATGAAGTTGGCTTAGTAAATCTAACTTTATTTAGGAACCAAATTTGCAACAGAATGGACAGAGTAAGCCAATATGTTTCCTCCAAAAGTTGGTCATCTTGGAATTAGTTGAGGGAATTGATTTGATGATTTTACTTACATTCCATGATTGTGGTATAAATAAATAGGAATGTTGTTGTTTTTTCTCCTTACTCCTTGTATCTGGCTTATCTCACAGGAAAAACTGAATGTGGTAGGTCTCATAATGTTTTAACATCTGCCATGCAGTTGGATTACATCATGCTGAGTTTTTAATAAAGAAGTCCATATACTTGACTTGCAGCATAGTCTGCATGTACAACTCTGAAGCTGCAAACACAGTCTTTAGTGATATTGCTTCTTGAACAAATGTCTCCTGAAAGTATCCAATTCAGTGAAAGTACGGTAATGCTGAACATATGAAAAAAGAAAAAGAAACACTGAAAGAAGTTAACAAACTGCCTCCTTTGCAAAACACCTTGTATTTACACTATCAGCATAAGATGTTAAAATATCACTGGCATGAAGATCTTACATGGTGGTTTCACAGTTTTTTTTCTCACTACAGGATCTTTTGTTCAGTTTTACCATCTGGTGTTTGCCTTTGGTCATAAAAAGAATTCTGGAATGAGCAGAGTGCTTTTTAAAGGATAAACACTAAATGTTAAGTTTTGGTTCCAGAATTTTGTGTGGTTAAAAATAAAATTAAATAATTATAATATAATAAAGAGTGTTACATTCTATTCTGCATAACCAAAAAGAAGAGGAGGAAAATGGATAAAAAGATTTTAATTTCCCTGGATACATTGAATAACTTTATGAATTTAGCATATCTTCCTCATTACTTAGTAGTAGTAATTATGAATTTAGTGCCTTCTACCTGAGGATCTCAGCTATTCATGATTTAAGTATTGCTGTACTCCTGAGAGGTAGATAGCATTATCCCAATTTTATAGATGAGGAAAGTGAGACACACAAATAACAAGTGAGACTCATCCAAGGTCAAACAGGAAGTCTGTGGTGCATCTGGGAAATGAAACCAGGTCTCCTGACTCCATCTTCTGCCTCAACTATAAGACCACCTTTCTCTAAAATGAAATGTATAGTACTGCAGGCATGTTTTGAATCACTATATTTCTACCTTAAATAGAACCTTTAGTGATTCTGTAGAACAAATACAGAGAGTGATACAATTATCTTTTTATGTGAAGAAGTTGTGTAGTAGCTATAAGCATTAGTCAAATATGCAACTCATGGTGAATGCAATTTGCCTTTAAATTTAAGTATTACCAGATAGATTGGCCAGATTAACAAACATACTCTTTTCTTTTTTCCATTGCAGCATGTGCGTTCCGTTACAATGGGCTCTCTTTTGTGTACCTCGTCTACCTCTTGCTCATTCCTCTGTTTTCAGAACCTACAAAAACAACAATGCAAGGTAAGAGTTTCCCTAATGGTTTTTTAAAGATACATAACATGTAATATGTACAGAAATCTTGTAGGTGGTATAAGATGGAGTCTTACAGGTATTTCTTCAATATACTTTTATTGGTTTGAACTTTTCTTCCGGTAAGTGAGCTGGTTTTGTAATATGTCATGTAAACTCACTGAATCTGGATTTGGAGTGAGTACTCCCTAGTAACTGATCTGATTAAATTCAACTATGGAATATTCTTTTTACAATGTATATTTTAGCCACCTCTACAGACATTGGCACCCCACTGATCTCCCCATTACCATGATCTTGAAAAGTTTTTGATTTTTGTTTTTTTGTTTTCAGTTTTACAGCTGTAGAATAACTAAATGCATCATGGATAAAATCACCCACATGTCACGTAATAGCGGCACTTCAATATTAAAATGTGAAAATAGGATTCCAGAGATGAAAAGACAAAAGCCATTTCAGAAATAGGATATTTGTTATTCCTGTGGGGTATATTGCAACAACAAATGGGTTAATCTGTAAAAGTTAGTTCTCAGAAGTTTCTGGGCAACAGTATTGTAACTTCAGGATCATTGAACAGTAAATTAAAATTTGCTGTGGTAAGCTAATATTTCCTTTTTTGTGTTTTATCAGTGATATGTATTGTCACCCAGTAGCTTGTGGGAGCTGCTTTAGTGAGTAGGTCTCTGAACTGGTCCCTGCAGTTCAGAACTCTCCGTCATGTGGCTTGACTCAAACTCTTGTATTAAAGCAGTTATTGTACCCCCAGTTCACCTTCAGACTATTATTTACAATAGTATCTCTCTTCAAGAAACATTTTAATTTTACTCAAGTGAGTGGTGGGGTGAAGAATAAAAGTAAGCTTCTTCCATATGGGAGAGAAGGAAAAGGAGATATTATATGGGGCTCTATTGAGGCTGACGCTGTAAGTTGAAAATGTTACCTAAATTATTGGCTTTGTTTTGAATGCTGTGGGTACCATGTGCATGTAGCACACTTCCCCTACAGCAGCTCTCTCAAAGAACACGCTGCACCACTGTGATGGTTAATGGAAAATCACATTTTATTCAATAAATATCCCTAATGAAACAAACTAGGAAATCTAGACTTCAAACATAAAAACATCTCAAATTACTAGGTTCCTACGGAGCTCTTACCTGAATCAGTAGCATCACGTCCATATAAAGACCCCATAACATCTCTCTGAATACAGGGCTTCTATTACCACATCAGTCACCCCAAAGGGGTCTCCCAGGTTGCATCTGGAGCTACCCCTTTCCATTTTCAGCAGTAACTCTTGGCCGCCAGTCTGGTTCAGTTTATACTCTCCTGGCAACCTCCATCTGGTATGTTTCGGAATGGAGTCAGTGTGGCTCCTCTTCCTTCCTGAGCACCAGTAGTCTTGACCTTCTCCCAGGATAGCTTTTGTCTGTCAGTTTTGTTTTCAACATGACTCTAGTTTCTAATATTCATATAGATAGATTTAGAATCTAGAGTCATGGCACATACTATATATAAAAATCTGTGTTTCTGGAAAACCATTTGCATCTGATCCAGTGTTCTCCTGTTTTATGTCCGGCCTTCTGAATACTAGATAAGAGAGAACGTGAGAGGGAAGGAGAGTCATCCCAGTCAACTGCCAATTTGAAAGACATTGACCTCTTACCTTTTTAGATTATAGTGACTTGGTTGAGTAATAAGTCATACACCAGTGTACATTAATCAGCAAGTAACCTACTTACAAGTGCTTTAATGATAAATAACAATATTCCTTCTAAAAAACAGAAACCATTTCAGTGTCTTCCATATGCAGATTCAAATGGCAGATACACCATTTACCCTCTCCTCCTGCCCCCCGGTCAGTGGCATCAAACATTTTTGTTTCTTGAATTCACTGAAAACATTCCTTGAGGAATCTTTAAGTTTGTCTAAGTGCAGCCTCCCATCCCCAGGGTATTCTCCTTTTTTCTCGTTACTGGGGAGAAGAGACGAGAAATAGAATCTTTCAGGTAGTTGTAATATTGTTGTTCATTTTATAACACACAGAGAAATCATCTAACTAGAAATGGTTGTTTTTACCAAGTTAGAGTACTGTGTTCTGTTATAGACCTCACTGAGAGATAATGCACAAAACTAGTTTGAAGATAGGGTGAAAAAAAAAGCAATTAAACTGAAAATATCTCTCATTTTATTTACTTATTTATTTATATGGCCTCTATTACAGTACTGTAGTGTTTGAGCACCTACATATACAATATTTTATGGGGAAAAGAGGTTTTTTTCCCCATCAAGTTCCATTGGAGGAGAAAGGAGTCAAAGCTAGTCTTGCACTATGGAAAATATGCCCTCACCTTAACCATTAATTCATTAATTATGACTTTGACAAGGATAAAACACAGTGTTTTATGCTGATGTAAATGCTGATGTTTTTTTGAAACCTTCAGAGTAATTTCCAAAATGATATGATGCCACATTTATTCCCACATGTTAGTTATATGTAGGTTAGAAAATGCATTTAGTCAATCCATTTTACAGGAAATGTGTTGCCTTTTAATTTATTATTTTGATTACAGTAGCTCCTGAAGAATCCAACAAAGAATGGGGCCCCACTGTGCTAAGCGCCGTACACATAGATAACGAGGGACAAAGTTTACAGTTAAAATAGAGGTTTCAGAGGAACAGCCGTGTTAGTCTGTATTCGCAAAAAGAAAAGGAGTACTTGTGGCACCTTAGAGACTAACCAATTTATTTGAGCATGAGCTTTCGTGAGCTACAGCTCACTTCATCAGATATATACCGTGGAAACTGCAGCAGACTTTATATACACACAGAGAATATGAAACAATACCTCCTCCCACCCCACTGTCCTGCTGGTCAGGATTGTTTCATATTCTCTGTGTGTATATAAAGTCTGCTGCAGTTTCCACGGTATACATCTGATGAAGTGAGCTGTAGCTCACGAAAGCTCATGGTCAAATAAATTGGTTAGTCTCTAAGGTGCCACAAGTACTCCTTTTCTTTTTAGTTAAAATAGACAAGCTATTCAAAGAATGGCAGAAGAGAAGTATAATTTAACCCATTTTACTGATGGAGAATTGAGGCACGGCAAGAATAAGGTGGAATTTTCAAAAGTGTATAGTTTTCTGTTGACTTAAGTGGGAGCAGAGTTAGGTCAATGCTGAGTGCTATAGAGAATTCCACCCAAGTGGCTTGGCCAAGGTAATACATCTATGGAGTATGTGGCAGAGCCAGGTACTTGTACAGATACAGACAGACATCATCTTCCTTTCCAAATGCAAACAGATGGACATCGTACCAAAAGGACTGAAGGTCAAAAATCCATTACAATCTACATACCACACAGACTATGCTGACAGCTTGTGCCTCACGCTCTCAAAGAAACTGCGGAATCACCTGATCAAGATCCTCTACAGCAAACAGGGAAAGATTAAGAATGAGCTCTCAAAAATGGATACTCTCATAAAGAACCAACCTTCCACACAAACTTCCTCGTGGCTGGATTTTACTAAAACTAGACAAGCCATTTACAACGCACACTTTGCTTCTCTACAAAAGAAAAAAGACACTAAACTTTCTAAACTACTACATGCTACAAGGGGCCACAGCAATGGTTCCCTCACCCCACCTAGCAATATTGTTAACCTATCCAACTATGCTCTCAGCCCAGCAGAAGCAGCTGTTCTATCTCGGGGCCTCTCCTTCTGCCCCTCCACCCCCACGAACATGATACAGTTCTGTGGTGACCTAGAATCCTATTTTCGACGTCTCCGTCTCAAGGAATATTTCCAAAATACCTCTGAACAACATACTAATCCACAGAGGTCTCCCTGCCAACACTACAGAAAGAGGGATTCTAGATGGACTCCTCCTGAAGGTCGAAACAGCAGACTGGACTTCTACATAGAGTGCTTCCGCCGACGTGCACGGGCTGAAATTGTGGAAAAGCAGCATCACTTGCCCCATAACCTCAGCCATGCGGAACGCAATGCCATCCACAGCCTCAGAAACAACTCTGACATCATAATCAAAAAGGCTGACAAAGGAGGTGCTGTTGTCATCATGAATAGGTCGGAATATGAACAAGAGGCTGCTCGGCAGCTCTCCAACACGAGTTTCTACAAGCCATTACCCTATGATCCCACTGAGAGTTACCAAAAGCAACTACAGCATTTGCTCAAGAAACTTCCTGAAAAAGCACAAGATCAAATCCGCACAGACACACCCCTGGAACCCCGACCTGGGATATTCTATCTACTACCCAAGATCCATAAACCTGGAAATCCTGGGCGCCCCATCATCTCAGGCATTGGCACCCTGACAGCAGGATTGTCTGGCTATGTAGACTCCCTCCTCAGGCCCTACGCTACCAGCACTCCCAGCTACCTTCGAGACACCACTGACTTCCTGAGGAAACTTCAATCCATCGGTGATCTTCCTGATAACACCATCCTGGCCACTATGGATGTAGAAGCCCTCTACACCAACATTCCACACAAAGATGGACTACAAGCCGTCAAAAACACTATCCCCGATAATGTCACGGCTAACCTGGTGGCTGAACTTTGTGACTTTGTCCTTACCCATAACTATTTCACATTTGGGGACAATGTATACCTTCAGATCAGCGGCACTGCTATGGGTACCCGCATGGCCCCACAGTATGCCAACATTTTTATGGCTGATTTAGAACAACGCTTCCTCAGCTCTCGTCCCCTAAAGCCCCTACTCTACTTGCGCTATATTGATGACATCTTCATCATCTGGACCCATGGAAAAGAAGCCCTTGAGGAATTCCACCACGATTTCAACAATTTCCATCCCACCACCAACCTCAGCCTGGTCCAGTCCACACAAGAGATCCACTTCCTGGACACTACAGTGCTAATAAACAATGGCCACATAAACACCACCCTATACCGGAAACCTACTGACCGCTATTCCTACCTGCATGCCTCCAGCTTTCACCCTGACCA